TTTGGAAATAAGATTTATTTGATGCTTAATTACTTTGTTTTGATGCTTCACCCTGCAGGGACACCGTGTACTTGGAATAGTTTCTAGCACATAAAGCTGGCTTCTTCGGGACTCCTTACTTGCAGGCTCAACACCTCCCTCCATCGAAACAAACACCCCGTGGATTAGGGCATTGGTGTTTTTTCCGTGCGCAGTCACTGTTGGGAGCTGGCCTATTCCTGCCCCCTGCAAACACTTAAGAAGTCCGTGAAATTTTGGGCTTGCAAAAGCACGATCAAGACACACACACACCGAACAATAAGCCGACACACGTTAGTTGATTTTGTTGTTCGCGACAATTCATTGCGTATGTTGCTGGATTGATCCCTGCAGACTTCCGCTGTCATGTGGCTTGCGCTGAATCTGTGTGTTTTCGGTTAGCTTCGTTCGCAGGGCTGAGATAGATAGATAGATAGATAGATTTCATCTTAAAAAGATAGACGGAAATATAGGGAGAGAGAGAGAGAGAGACAGAGAGACAGGTAGATAGAGAAAGGGGTAGATGGGCAGATAGATAAATAGATAGAGACAGATGTGGGTAGATAGATTTGGAGGTGGAAAGATAGAGGGAGGGAGAGAGAGAGAGGGGGTGGTATTGGTAGGGATAGATAGATAGATAGATGTATGTCTATATAGGTAGGCAGGTATATAGGAAGAGCGATAGGCAGATAGAGAAAGATGCAGGTAGTTAGATTCGATAGGGAGAGAGATAGGTAGATAGAGAACATGTAGGTAGATAGGATTTAGATAGGTAGAGAGAGAGGGGGGGGATTGATAGATAGCTATGCAGAGATAGAAAGATTGATAGATAGACTGATGTCTATATAGGTAGGCAGGAAAATAGGAAAGAGATAGGTAGATAGAGAAAGGTATAGATAGTTTTATAGGTAGGGAGATAGAGAGATGTAGGTAGATAGAGGGAGAGGGATAGGCATAAATGTAGAAAGAGAGACATAGGTAGATAGAGAAAGATGTTGGAATATAGATAGAGGGAGAGAGGGATATAGAGAGATAGATAGAGATAGAGATAGGTAGATAGAGAGATTAAATCGACTACATACATAGATAGACAGAAAGAAAGTTAGATGGAAAGAGGGAGAGAGCGAGAGAGAGATAGACCGATAGATAGAAAGATGGACAGGCAGAGAGATAGATAGGTCGGTAGATAGATCACTAGATAGGTGAGTAGGTAGGTTGAAACAAGTAGATAGATAGATAGACAGATAGATAGATTGTTAGATAGATAGACAGATAGAGATAGAGAGATGGTTACATAGATAGAAAGATGAAACAGATAGATAAACAGGTACGCAGGCAGAAGGTAAATAGATACGTAGATAGATAAATGGATTAGATAGATAGATGGTTAGATAGGTAGTTGCATAGATGAATAGATAGACAGATAGATAGATAGATAGATAGATATAGAGAAAGAGAGAGAGAGATAGATAGGTATATAGGTTGATAAATAGGTAGGCAGGCACGTAGATAGATGAATAGAGCTAGATAGGTAGGTAGATAGATAGAGAGACAGAGAGAATTGGACAGGTAGACAGATAAATAGGTAGGTCGGTAGACGGATAAGTAGCTGGGTGCGTAGATAGATAGATAGATAGATACAAAGAGAGATAGAGAGAGATTGATGTAGAGAGAGAGAGAGAGATGGATCGATATACAGATAGATCGATCGATACAAGTTTTTAGATAGATAGACAGATAGGTAGGTAGTTCATGGAGATTTAGAGAGAAAGATAGATAGATAGATGGACAGATCCATCGATAGATAGGTGGGTCGATACATAGATGAATAGGTAGGTAGGTTGATAGATAAATAGATTGATAGATAGACAGTTGGATGGATGGATGGATGGTTGGATGGATGGATAGACAGATCAGATAGACAGAGAGACAGGGATAGATAGATAGACAGACAGATAGATAGGTTGGTGGGCTGGTAGATTGGCGGGGAGGCTGTAGGGAGATAGATTGCTAGATCGATTGCTAGATTGCTAGGTAGGTAGGTAGATAGATCGATTGGTAGAGAAAGGGGTTGATACATAGATGGTTAGAAAGATGGTGACATAGATGTCTAGATAGATAGCTAAATTGATAGATAGAAAGAAGACAAAGAGGTAGATGCATAGAGAGAGAGAGAGAGAGAGATGGATATTGATAGATAGATAGGCAGAGATAGACAGCTAGATAGATGTATGTATGAACAAGTAGACAGAGATATACATTCTCACAGAGAGAGAGAGAGAGAGCTAGGTAGATAGATAGATGGGTATACAGTTCAAGAAATAGATGGTTAGATGGATAGACAGGTTAAGCAGATAGAGAGAGAGAGAGAGAGGTGGATAGATAGATAGATAGACACATGGATATAGAGATAGAGAGATAAGTAGTCAAGAGAGAGAGAGAGAGAGAGAGAAAAAGAAGCAGAGAGACAGATGGCTAGATACATAGAGTGAGAAAGAGAGATAGAGAGATAGATAGAGAGATACATAGATAGAGGTATATAGATAGAGAGCGAGATCGAGATAGATATTGAATAGATACACAGACAGATGAGTAGTAGGCAGGTAGAGAAATAGTTAGGTAGGTCGATAGATAGTAGACTAGATAGACGGACAGATAGCAAGATAGATGGAGAGGTAGATAGGTTGGTAGATGGATAAATTGACAACTGAGTAGGTAATTTGAAACAAGGTAGATAGAAAGATAGATAGATAGATAGATTGATTGATTGATTGATTGACTGATTGACTGATAGAGAGAGAGAGAGAGAGACAGGTAGATAAACATGAGGGAGAGATAGACAGGTGTATAGAGAGAAAGAGACAGATAGATAGATAGATAGATAGATAGATAGATAAAGAGAAATATAGATAGATAGACTTGCAGATGGCTTGATAAATGGGTAGGGGTGTAGATAGATAAATAGGGATAGATAGGTAGGTAGATAGATAGATGGAGAGACAGAGAGAGATAGACAGGCAGATAAATCAACGGGCAGGTAGGTAGATGGATAAATGGATAGGTACGTAGATGATAGATAGGAAGACAGAGACACAGAGAGAGAGAGGGAGATAGAGAGATAGATGGGTAGATACATAGAGAGATAGATAGACAGACCGGTAGATAGATTGATAGATTGATAGATTGATAGAGACAGCTATTGAGAACTAGGTACATAGGCAGGCAAATAAATAGATGGGTAGGTGACCGGTGGATAGATTATAGACTAGGTAGATGGACATATAGAAAGATAGATGGAAAGAGAGAGAGAGAGAAATAAATAGACAGATAGATGGAGAGATTTAGAGAGAGAGATAGAGAGAGATAGAGAGATAGATAGAGAGGTAGGGAGATCGAGAGATAGAGAGCTAGATAGATAGATAGATAGATAAATAATGAAAGTTCATATCCATGCAAAACATCACTGCCAATGGAAGTTCACCGATTGGCCAGGTTCCCGAAAATTAGGGCGTACTGGAAACCAGCCGAAAGGGACATGTAGGGACCCGTATTGGATGTTTCAACCCAGTTGGTAGGTGCAGGACTTAGTGGCCCGCGGGTTTTTTCTCGTAGTTGCAACATTCGTAAATGTTTGGCCCCGCTGCGGGGGGATGCCTCGAACGAGCGTTCTTATCGATTTGGGCAGTAGATGCAAGATCGAACGCGCAGAAAAGAAAAACCGATGCAGTCCAGCGTCAGTCATACTCGGGGTAGCGACTGGGAGAAGTGGGATTTGACGCCTTATAACCTTTGCTAATTGGGTTGAACATCACCATACTTGGGTGACAAATCAACAGGAGTTGGTTGACTTAGAACCACCTTCATAGGGCGCAAGCAAGTTCATGGAGGTGTCCTCGTACCGGAAATTACAGGGGGGCTCAGGAGGACCATGGCTCCAGGAACCGACGTATACAAAAACCAGCTTTTGTAAACGACCATTTCTCATCAGAGCTACGCACCGGCAGAATCAGACAGCTAAGGAAACGCCCATGCGGAAACCTTCTGTTGGAAGACGCCGGCCGTACACAAAAGCCAGCTTTTGTAAACCACCGCTTCTGGTCGGAACCAGCCTGCGGAATCGGCCAGCAAGCCGGCCTGGAATCCACCGGCGGAATCAGCCGGCCAGCCTGCCAAGAAAATGCCCGGCGGAATCAGCCAGTCAGCCAAGGAGATGCCCGGCGGAATCAGCCAGTCAGCCAAGGACATGCCCGGCGGAATCAGCCAGCCAGCCAAGGAGATGCCCGGCGGAACCAGCCAGCAAAAAAAATAGGCGGCTGGCGGCTGAAACTCTGAGACCCAGCTGTGTCCAAAATCGGCGGCTGGCGGATTTCAGCTTAGGCCCCGAACTCCAGGACCTCTAGGTTTTGCTTGTTGTTTTGACTTGCGGGGTTTTACCTTTTCTTTTGGGTGGGCTTGGAGGCTGGATGGCATGCTTGGAGTGCTTTCGTTTGCCGTGGAGGTGTTCCGGGGTGGTGGTTTCCCATTTTGGCCTCTACAAGCACCAGAGTTTCCTGACGCACTGAAAAAAACCATCGCTTTCAAACAAAACGAAAACACGCAAAACTTACCCCCTTTTTGGGGAAGCTGAGTGTGGATTCCCTTTGAAGTTTCGCATCAAAGGCTGATTGCAGAGCTCCACTTTGTAAGCAATGAATGATCATGTTGGATCCCTGTGCGTCGCAGTTTCCTATCACCAAGCCACAAGCGGCTCACAAACCAATGCACTAGGGTCCTGGATACCCTTAGGTGCCAAACCGGAAGGTGTCTTGATGCTTTGCTTTTAAAGCGGCTCCCTTTTCTGTCCAACCCTTGCTTTGCCTCCTCCCTCCCCCCCCCCGGGGTTTTGTTAATTCGACCCTCGGTTTGTTAAATCGACGACCGGCCCTCGCCACGGCTTTCTCCCCCAAACCTCAACCCAGCCTTGCGCCCAGCGATCGATGGAGGTCCGTGGGCGTGTCCGCCGTCACGGGCGCCGGTTGTGAAGACTTCGAGAAGGCCCTCGGCGAAGCGGCGCAGGCGCGAGCCACTGAGGCCTTTGGGCTTTTCTCACTTGTGACATTCAAAGGCCCCTTAGGCCCTTAGACCGTTCGCAAGCAAATGGGTGTCGGACCCCCAAAGCGGTGGTTTTGCGTTTTGAGTGTTTCATGCAAACCACCAAAGGACCAAAGGGGTGCCACGCCCAAATGGTTTTTCCGGGCCAAAAGTTCTTTGATCCGACCCTTTTGCTCAACCCAGTCGGAGCCCAACGAAACAAAGCGGACCGGCGATCTGGGAGCATTAGGCTTTATCGACTATCCTGTTGATATTTGCCGAGTAACGGGGAGGGGGGTGGGAGGGGGGTTGTCATCAAATTGGATCACACTCCCTCCGCGGATTCTAGTGTTAGAAGTGATATGATTCTTTGCGGTGGCCGGAGTTCATCTCCGTTTAGAAACGCCAATTTGATTTGAGGTTTCATCTCGGTTCAATCTACCATTTTGCGTCCCTTCCCAAGGACATGGAACCTCCCAGCGTGGTTTGGACCGGTGTCCTTCTGCAACGCTTGCGGCAGGAGTTCGTGGACAGCTACGTGCCCTTCCTCATGGAGCAGCGGAAGGACCTGGAAGAGAAGCGCCAGCAGGCGGTGGAGGATCTGCGCGTTTTTTTTTTTTTTGGGGGGGGGGAGGTTTGGGGGGGCAGAGGTCCCAAATCGATTCTATGTTCTTTTCGCAGGTGTCCTTTTAAGTGAGTTTGAGAAGGAAACAGATGGGTTCCACTTGTTTAGATTGGTTTCATGCCCCATTTAAGGCCGCGGATTTCCCAAAATGACACCTGTGTTTGTATGTAATTTACCTTTTGGGTCCCCCAGACAAAATCGTCGTTGTCGTTGCGTGTTTCTCAAAACCGAAAAAAAAAGGGGAGACGTGCTCCAACTCTCGGCTCGCGCTCGTCCACTCAACCTTTGGTGTAACCAACGAACTAATTTCTTTGCTTCCGGTTTGTCTGAAAGGGTAAACTAAAGGTCGCTACCCGCTTCCTTCAATCATGACCCCAAAGGAAACTGACCCTTTGTCCTTTCCAACACAGGGAACATGGCTATGAACTTCAATGACCCGGTTCCCCCCCTCTCAAAGTACGTGGTTTCCACAACTCAAAATCACGGAACCACCCTCATGGAGATCTCTAGGGGTCGATTTGTCTCCCCTCCCCAAATCAAGCCATCATGATGTTTTGTGTCTCAAGAGGAAGAGTGGCTTCGGGGCGGCTGTCTTTGGTTCCCTGGCTGACACTCCCAACAGCCACCAACAAATCAGAGTCTTGAATCCAAGCCAGCGATGTGGCCAACCGAGCACTAAGGAGAAGGCTCCGGCCTGACCTGATGCTGGGGTTGGATGTTCGCACCAAGAAATGAAGCCATGGTTGTTTGTTGGCATTTGCGGTTGAATCGAACCGTTCCAGGATTTATCAAGTTGTTCCACTGATCTGATGGCCAACCGCAAATCGTTAGTTCGCCGCTAGGAGCAGCTCAAGTCCTTTGAGCAGAACATGGACCGTGCCAAGCGGGGCCGCGACCAGCGCGGACACCCGGGGAGTTCTTGTTCTGGGACCCTTCGGACATCAGAAATGACGAATGACACGGGAGTCATGGCCAGTGTGATGGGAACTTTCGGGAAGTTCCGGCCTTGTGGTTGAACCCCGGTTTGGAGCTACGACAGATATTTGGTGTGACCAAGCAATGCGAGAGGAGCTGATTTGAGGGCGCTTTGGCTGCCATGTAGCACTGGGGGCTTTTGCCAACCCCTCAGGCGCATTTGGCTAAACTTGTTCATGGTTGGATTTCCCTGAACACAGGTTAGAGAAGCACGCAATGCAACTATATTTTTGACGTGCCCCAAACAGTGCAAGCAGCTAGATCTGATGCCCCAAGGTGCAAAGTAGGGTACCATCGGGGCGTGCGTTGCTCAGGTTGGAGGAGGACATGCAGAATCTGTCCATTGAAGAGCGAGAGCTGGACCTCATGAGTTTAGGATGACGAGCCTGGCAAAAAACAATAAACATCGATGCCCGGAGGTCCGTTACCAAATCTTGATGAGAGACAGCGTAGAGCTCGTGAGCGAGGTAGCATACAAGTGTAGCTGTTTTGCAAGAAAGCCGCATCTCAATGCCCAGATCCACCTTCAAAACAGAAATCGGTGTGGCCGTCCGTGGGACTCTGTTATACTCTGCTCAAAACCTCACCATGGGAGATGCAAAAGAACCTGCGCAAGAAGTTTGGTTCGGCACTGGGTCGAAAAATACAGAGCTAGCTAGGGTTTTCCCCCGCAGATTTGGAGGGGGCGGTGCCGATTTGTTAAATTGCAAGGGCTAACTAGCTTAAACTCAGCGCGTTTGTGTGTGTGTGTGTGAAATATGTCGGTTTTGTTCGAACGTGTTTTTTTTTTTCAGATTTCAAGGTAAATTCCACAAGTATTAGCTTAATAGAGGGGGGCGAGGCACGGACCCCTATTTATGAAATCTCACATTGGGGGGGGCGGGTCCCGCATTTTAAGACACACCGCATCCACTGTTCGCACGATGTTTGTGGCTCAGCTGTGGCTCAATGTGGGCTGGCGGCTTCAAGAATCAATCCATGGAGAGTCCACAAGCCGGGCGGTGAACATGTTGTGAAAGTCTTGCGCCTTGCGATAGACTTGGGGATGAAGGTTCTGGAAAAGGTTGCGAGATGCTTGAAAGGCGGAGACATCATGTCCACAATCATGGCGGCATGCTTGAAAGGCGGAAGCATCATGTCCAGTTTTATGGCAGCGAGCCTTGTAGATCGATCACATGCGTGCATGCAATGGCGCAGTGCAGGGATTGGTGGAGCGTTACCTGGCAACGCTGTTCTACCAGTGCAGTCAGATTGCTGCATTCCTGGAAGGCTCGCCAGTCTTGCCGCTGGAGCGCACAGGTGTAGAGCGGAAAGTCGCCGCGCCAGAGGTGCCACGGAAGTGTCCGGCTCGGCCTACAAGGCCAGCGCTCAACTTTCCGATGGTGATGTTTGCAGGAACCCAGCGCAGGTTTCATGTCTTGGGTTCCAAAATCACCCTCTGAGTGTTCCATGGTAGGTTGGACATCCAGGGCCCCTGAAGGCGGTCCTATGGTATCCTGGAGGCCCCGCCAGAGCCTGATTCCACGGCGCCAGACCTGTCCACCAGTGGCATGGTCGACACCGGCGACGGCGCATACGATGCTGGCAGTGAGTGTGCTGAGTCTCGATTCTTTAGTGCGGCCGAACTATTTGGTCTCATTTTCCCCCTTCAACTTGTTTCACCAAAAATGGCTCATCCAAGTACCAACAAGCGAGAACTCAGCTCTGTGAGCCCCGAGCTTTCCCTTTAAAATCATCGCCGTGTTTTTTTTGTTTGGTTTAACTCTGTCAGAAGCTGAGCGCTCGCAACGCTTTCAGTGAGGCGAGCCATGCACCAAGGACAAGGTTTTGACCCTGGAGCCCTCGGCCTTGGCTCCGCTCCTCCGCCCAAAACCGCCGCCGCCGCCGCCTTCGCCCTCCGCGGCGCCCGCGGCTTCGGCGCCGTGCGCGGTGCTGGGGCCGTGGAACCCGTGGAGCGCGGACAACGAGGCCCAGCGCCTGCGGAGGCTGCTGCAACCCATTCAGAGCTCCAGGACTGAGATCCAACCCCACCCCAGTGGTAAGGGTCTTGGGGGAAAGCCAAAAGGAAGCTGCGACGCGGGGCGAAAAACCAGGTGGCTGTTTGGTTTGGTATGTTCGGGTATGTTCCCTGATGTCACGTTTGCGCTCTCAGATTTTAAGATCTGGGGCTCCACTGAGCCAAATGGCCCCTGTGGACATGGATTTATGTCATCGACCAGCACCATGTCTTTTGGGGGTCCAGCCAACAAAGAATTGAAGGCCCAGCCTTGGGCAGCAGGGAAGTCAAGTCGCGCAGGAGCTTAGCGAGGGACAAGCTTAAACCTGCCAGCCCCAGCCCCGGCGAGTGCATCGTCGCCATCGCGGCGAGCAAAGCCCAGACCAGAGTTTCCACGAGCACGCGCAGGAGCAAGAGCCGTCCCAGCATGGCCAGCCCAAGCGGCTCCAAAGCACCCAGCGCCCTGGCGCAAAGACAGGGGTAAGACAGTTGACTTAAACGTCTCCTTATGGTCGCCGTTTTAGCAGCGGTTTCATCTTGTTGGTGTGCAAGGGGGACATATAACGAAGACTGCAAGTATTGCTGGGACACAGGCAGAAGTGATATCCAACGAAGGGCAAAGAAAAGACAAGCGTAGTCCAAGGATCTGCTGTTTTTGTCCTGGTTGCCCTTCTCGGTGGAAGATCGGGACGACTAGTCAACCACCTAGCAAAACAAATGTGTGTCTGGAATCAAAGACCAAGCAAGGGTCTGTAAGGCCGTAGCTGCAGCCGCTTGCCAGAGGACCCGTGCGGTTTGGGGAAAATTTGCAGAAAGCCGGATGTCAAAACGGTTTTTTTGTGGATCTCTTGAGTTTGGATTATGACTCAATGACTCATTTGGCACCTGCCTGCTCCGGCAGTCAACATGTAGGGCTCTTTTTAAGGGACCGTGACGTACCGTGACCACAAATGAGTTTGACCGCACGTGAGTTCACAGATGCTGGGGGTCTCACGGGGTCCATTTGGTTGTCACATTCCACAAAGAAGCAACAAACGACACCGGGCAAGCCGAGTGAGAGACTTGCCACCATTTCGCTTGCGCGAAAGGAGAATTTGTCTGCAACGCTGGCCTCGGAAGGCTGTGGCAGAGACGGCGTTGGTGAGTGGGGGTTGTTCTGCCTGCAAGATAGTATCAAGATGTGTATGTATATACAGATATATATATATATATATGTGTATATATATATATGGTACCCCCCCTGGAGTACTCAGGTGTTCGTCCAAACATTCACATGGTTGCTGTAAAACTGCGTGTGAAATTCACTTTCCAGCTTCTAGAAGTGATGCTCAAAAAATGCACTCTTTATTAGACCTAAATTATAGCATCAGTACTTAGTGCAATCCAGGATGTGCTAGCACGTGCTAGCATATCCTGGATTGAAGATTGAAGATTATTTCACAGTTCGTGCTGAGATTCTTCAAATCTATACTTAGGGGAATCCAGGATGTGTTAGCACCTTCTAGCACATCCTGGATTGACGATTGAAGATTGAAGATTATCTCGAAACTCTTTCTGGAATTCTTCAATCTTCAATCTTCAACCCAGGATGTGCTAGCACATATCAGTTTGAGCTATGTATGGGTTTGAAGATTTCCAGAAAGTGGTTGAGAAGCTTCAATCTTCAATCCAGGATGCGCTAGCACGTGCTAGCACATCTTGGATTGCGCTAAGTACATATTTGAAGAATCCCATCAAGAGTTGTCAAAGAACCTTCAAGCCTCAATCGTCAATCCAGGATGTGAAAGCAGATCCTGGATTGCCCAAGTATGAAATCTGACAAGGCGGACAAGCAGAGCTCGTTCCAAGAGTCAAACTGTGGATGTGCATTGCCTGCACTTTGCCAATAAGGAAACCATGTGTATTGAAAACATTACAGCTTTTGTGGGACTTGAGGGCTGGCCAGGATGGACGATTCTCAAAAAAGCAACATCTGGAGATCTTCAATCTTCAATGCAGGTGGGAAAACCTCAACGAGTCAAAAACTGTCAAGCTTATTGGGGGGCCAGGATTGAGGATGTTCTAAAACGATGTCTGTGCAATCTTGAGTAGTTAGCCTTTGATCCAGAGCAACATGATCTGAGTGAATGCAAACACCGCGCTTTACAGCATTGTAGGCCAACAATAAGATCTATGTTGAAAACATGTTTCTGTTATTGGTTTGGCTCTGTTCTTGCTTGGTTAAAACCAAATGGAGTTAGATAAGGACAACAACCCTTCTGTTTTATTTTTTCTCTTGATTCCAGTTTTAACTGGCCATGACAGTAGCTGTGTTCCAATTGACTTTGGAGACACACAAGAAACTGCAGCCGATTAAAGTTAAATTTGGCTTGAACTCGAAATCATTCTAACTTTCATATTCTTCCTATACTTGATTTTCAATAGTTGTTCTTGACAGTGGTTGAATCGTATTAGACAAGGAACGCCCAACTGAGATAGCTGCTTTGCAAGTTTGGTTTAAATACACTTAATTAGAATGTATCTGGAATTGTGTACAAGAGACGAACTAACATGTAAATGCATCTGTGCAAGGATATGAAGCACTTTTATGTTTGACTTGGATGTCAGTTGCAAGAAGGATTGAGTATCGATTGGATATGAGAGAGGGAGGGGGAGGAAGAGAGAGAGAGGAGAGACAGCAAAAGAGAGAGAGAGAGAGAGAGAGAGAGAGACACACACACACAGAGACAGACAGACAGACAGGCTAAAGGGACGTGTAGCATGTATGCATGTGTGTGTGCGCGTGTGTATGAATGCAGAGAGCTCTGCAAACTTGTTCAAACACTATTCCAGTTGCCCAGTGCTGCCCTTTTTTCATTTTTTTGGGGAAGGCTTCCCTTCAAACTTAACCCACCAAAAAAGGATCTGGCCACTGGGCATCTGAGCTCTTCCCCTGTTCTTCGCAGGGCCGCGCTCCATTTTTGCACTGCCCGACGAGGACGTCGAGAAGGCCTAGCGGATCACGCTCCCAAAGATCTGCAAAGTCTGTCCGAAAATTCGGGTTGGGGTAGGTGAATTCACCACCCATTTTAGAACCTATTTCAGCGGGGATTGGGATGTTGACCCATGGCCGTCTGAAAATTCGGGGGAGCCCCTTGACATCAGGGAAGCCAAATGGAAAAACTATGGAAAACAAAAAGCGGACACCAAGCAAGTTTGACGATTCCCACTTGGGAGGTACCCAAATGGGAGTGGCCCTGGGGCCCCTTGCCCAAAGCTCGTCTCGCCGACTATTTTCCGCTTTGTGTGCCCAAACAAGGTTCAGTGGTAAATGGAAACATGGACCAAAACCAGGCGTTTCGTCCGAAGTCTTGGCTCCAGCCTGCAACTTGCCTTGCGAAACCTTGCCGCTCTCATTGGCCATGTGGCTGTTGCGAAGCATCTCAGGAGAGGAGGCGCCGGTGAGTCATGCGAGGGTGATTTGCTATGTTCACGGTCTGGCTGTCATATGTCTGCTTTGGGCCCGGTTTGGTCTAGTTTGTGGGGCAATCTGTGCCGAGCCAAGCAAGCCAGTCTGGGCATTGCGCCAATTGTGGTTTGCTTGCAAGCTTCTCAGCGGCAACCAGTACCCATGAGAAGATGGTTTGGAAGCTCCTGCTTAAGGACATGGGCCTTCTTGTGGGTACGTCCTTTTGAATGGCTTCAGAGGCAAATCACAAGACGTGAACGTCTTGGAATGGGCTCGTGCCTGGGGTTGGAGGAAAACAAAAGGAAACCGCACCCCTTCCTCGTTCGGGACCCGAACTTTGAGACAACTCACTTCGCCCTTGCACTTTGAAGCGGTTCCCCCAAAAAGCCTGATCCGCTCGCTCGCCAGATGCCCTCGCAGTCCATGCACCCAGCGTTTGAGAGAGAGGGAGCGAGCGAGCGAGCGAGAGCGTGTGACACCAACAGACAAACCCAAGGGTCAAACCGTGTCAAGTCAAACCTATTTCCTTTGAACACTGAATGTCAGGGTTCCAACACGAAGAGCTTGAAGTTGTAACATCTGTCCGCATGCTTCACAGTGGTGGAAAATGCAAGGGAGCAAAAGAGAAGCCTGAAGGCTTTCTCCGTTTCTCCTTATTCTGTGGCATCCATTTTCAGCTAATGTCAACTTTGCATCAACAGAGGGGTGGCGGCTCCTTTTTTGTTCATGGAGTTTCTCCGATGATCCATTCCCCGCGAAACCGAGAGTTGGTCCTTAGTGTGGCCCCAAAAAGCGGATTCGAATTCCCGGAGTCCCTCGCGGGTCACCCCAATCAAAGTCCAGAAGTTCATCCTGGGCGCCCGTCCCCGCCTGTTTGCTTGGGATGGTTCTTCTTGGGCTCATTCTGTTCCCTGAGATCCACGTTGGGACCATGTGGAGACACCCCCGTTGATAGGTTTCCCGTGGCTCCAAGGCAGACTGAGCACTTCTCCATGAGCGACGAGGCGTTTTTGCGAACTCTGAGCAGTGGGCCATGTTTTGGCCGCAGATGTAATCCCACCGGATTTCCAATTCTGCAGTGGTAGGCGGCGCTTTTTCGACTTTTGAACGACTTTTGGGTTTGATTACCTTGGGGCAAGTGAAGAATGGAACCCGGATGCCGAGGTTCGCTTCAATTTGGATCGTTTGCAGTTCACAGTCGCATAGTGACGTTTGTGTTTGCATGTCTTGGGGGGCCCGCAACCATGAAACAAGAAGGTGGTTGCCTCCCAAAACCAGTATTTCTCAAAAGGGTGCGCCGTGGGAGCTGCGTTTTTGCACAAGCACAACGGGCTAACACAAGAACAAAACAAAAAGCATCAAGAGCGACGGCAAGCACGGGCCAACGGGGTTGGAGGTTAGAAGCCTCGAGGTTTTGAAGGCCTCGAGAAACGAAGATCTCGGAGATCTCACGTCCACGCACATCCCAAAGGGGTTGGCCCCAGAAACGGGTTTCTGCAATCCGGTTGGGGTGTTCCCGAGTTTGGATTTCAGGCCATATGACTGCCATATGACTTTGAAACAATTGTGTTGGTTCTTGCAAGAAGAGCTGTTCAATGTAGAACAGACCGAGGTCTAATGTCATTTGGAATTGCTTTTCATGAAATGTGCGATGTGTATGTTGCCGTTTTAGGTGTTCCCTTGTCTAGCGAATACCCAGTATAGACCTAGTAAAAGTCCTAGAATGTAAAAGGCATGTGTCTGCTGTATGTCCAACACGTGTCGAGCACATCTCTGGAGCCCTGGCATCTTGCAACAATATCCCATCATATGCCTGCCCCTCGGTTGGCATATTTGTTTTATTCCTAACTTACTGTCTTGCACATACCTAATAGACCAAATGGAGTTCCTAGAGTGCATCTGGTATGTGGCTACTCTGTGTGTGTGTGTGTCATATATATCCAACACATTGCTACTGCAGCATAGATCTAGCACATGTCTGCTAAAATGCTAACACGCGTTTAGCATACCCCCTAGCCCCTCGCAACAGGTTCCCAGCATATGCCTAACATGTGCCTAGCATATTAGACATTCTACTGAACCTACTATATGTCTATATAGTGTGTTTTCGTATGAACCTGCTTATCAGTTGTTCATATATCTGGCACAACTTGTTCTATTCAATGTCTAGCACCTTTCGAAGCGTGCCCAGAAACTATCCAGCTACTTCTGCTATTCAACACGGTGACTTCTTGTTTCTTCTTTCATGTACCCATGCATATCTATATAATCTGAAAACTCACTATATATATATATATCTACTCAAAGCCAGCTTGAAAGGCATGTTGCTTGCAAAACATCACAGCTGTATCGCGTTGAGGCCTCTATTTGTTTCCGGGGGGGGGTGGGGGGAGGGAACCTTCCCTTTGCACGGCTTTGCGGGGGGGGGGGCGGTTTGGCTTTTGGGATACGAGCAACCCGAGACATTTGTTCACATTTTGGTGGCTCCGAGGTCACCATCTTTTTTGCGCCAGGTGCAGGGGTCCGATGGCCAGGCCCCGATATGGCTGAGAGATGCGTGTTTTTTTGTTTTTTGCTGCTTGGTTGCTTGGTTGCTTGCTTGCTTTCTTGCTTGCTTGGTTGCGTGCTTGCTTGCTTACTTGCTTGGTTGCTTGCTGGCTTGCTTGCTTGGTTGCTTGCTGGCTTGGTTGGTTGCTTGGTTGCTTGCTTGCTTGGTTGCTTGCTTGCTTGGTTGCTTGCTTGGTTGCTTGCTTACTTGCTTGCTTGCTTGCTTGCTTGCTTTCTTGGTTGCTTGCTTGGTTGCTTGCTTGGTTGCGTGCTTGCTTGCTTACTTGCTTGGTTGCTTGCTGGCTTGCTTGCTTGCTTGGTTGCTTGCTGGCTTGGTTGGTTGCTTGGTTGCTTGCTTGCTTGGTTGCTTGGTTGGTTGGTTGCTTGCTTGCTTGCTTGGTTGCTGGCTGGCTTGCTTGGTTGCTTGATTGCTTGCTTGCTTGGTTGCTTGCTTGCTTGCTTGCTTGCTTTCTTGGTTGCTTGCTGGCTTGGTTGCTTGGTTGCTTGGTTGCTTGGTTGCTTGGTTGCTTGGTTGCTTGGTTGCTTGCTGGCTGGCTTGCTTGGTTGCTTGCTTGCTTGCTTGCTTGGTTGCTTGCTTGCTTGCTTGCTTGCTTGCTTTCTTGGTTGCTTTCTTGGTTGCTTGCTTGCTTGGTTGCTTGCTGGCTTGGTTGCTTGCTGGCTTGGTTGGTTGCTTGGTTGCTTGCTTGCTTGGTTGCTTGCTTGCTTGCTTGCTTGCTTGCTTGGTTGCGGGCTTGCATGCTTGCTTGCTTGCTTGGTTGGTTGGTTGCTTGCTTGGTTGGTTACTTGCTTGCTTGCTTGCTTGCTTGCTTGCTTGCTTGCTTGCTTGCTTGCTTGCTTGCTTGCTTGCTTGCTTGCTTGCTTGCTTGCTTGCTTGCTTGGGTCCTGGACCGTTTGCGCCAGATGTCCTCGGGTCAGGACTTGGAGGCCGAGTACGACTTCGAAGCCTTTCATGGAAAGGCGGCGATGCCGGGGACGCGATGCCGCCGGTCCCGATGGCGAGTGCATGGCGAGTTCGACTCCTTGGGTTTCCGGGGGTCAGTGGGGCGAATGCCATCGCTTTGGACTTTTTTGGCCGAAGGTGCCTTTTGGCTTGCGAAGGTTGAATGTAAGGGTCAGTCAAGACGTCCAATTTATGTTTTTGGGAAGGACGTGGGGAAGCTTCTGAAACTTCGCAGCAAACCGCCGGGAGACGGCGAATCAAAACCCGGGTCACTCCCAGCTGCCGCAAGCCCATTTCGACTCTTGGCCAATAGTTTTGGATAGACCACTTGACTCGACTGGTGTTTATCGCGTTGACTGGTGTTTGTCGCGACTCAACCGCTTCTCCAATGGGTGAAAGGGCAACTCGCCCCATTGCCGCTAAGCAGCTGGCAGGCGCCCGCAAAGAACGTGATCCCTTTCGACCGCGTCGAGCTCCGGTGTGGCTGCCTAGTGCCGTTCTACCCTGAAACGGCGGTGTTCAACTTCGCTGGAAAGGGCGAGCGGCGGACTGGAAGGTATCTTTTCTTTGGCGATCGGTGGTGTTTTTTGGGTTGGAAAGGAGAGCCTTGTGCGCTGCCAACTGTACAATGTCATTTCCATGCCAGAGAGAGAGAGAGAGCGAGCGAGCGAGAGATGTGAGACGCGCTCGCAAGGTTAGCCAAGTGCCTTCAGGCGGGTGGGGAGAGCACGCGTGCAAGATTTAGCAGCGACTGGTAGACAATGGATGGGTTCCACTGGTAGGTCAATTTGACTTTGATCCTTTGCCCCTGGAATCCATCAGGTTATCCCAAGAAAAACGGCATTGGACACTTTTTCTTGGTAATGGTCGTCAAGGCCACGAGGTTCGTCCATGCGTCTTCGGGGAAGCAGCCACCGTCCACTATGGCGGTTAGCCATGTTTCGCTTCCGGAGCACTTCGCCAAGCGCGCCCAGGCCTTGCACCAGCTCGAGGCCAGTCTCTTGAGTCGTAGCCCTTGTGGAAATTGATACTT